AGACCACGAGATGATGGTCGAAACGTCGGTCACCCAGCCTTCAACGCGGCGTCACCCGGACAGCCAAGATCTCGACTTTAGCCGCGGAAGCCTACGACTACACTTAGCACGAGAACTCTCGAACGAGAACTCTCGTTTTGTGCCCGGTGTGGTAAAACCATCACGAATCATCGCGGGGGCGGCGGAGGCAGCGGAGCGGCCGGGGAGAGACCGGAGGGGCCCGAGGGCGGACAGTGTCGAGTGCGCGGGCGCGGCGACGGAGACGGCGGGCCGCGTGACCTGGGGGAACAATTGCGGCGGCGGCGGGGGCGGAGGCCGCGGGGCGCGGCGGTGCGGTCGCGCGGGCGAGGGCGAGGGCGAGGGCGAGGGCGAGGGCGAGGGGATTACTGCTAAGGAGGCTGCGGGCGCCGCCGCCCACGCATCTGATCCTCACCCTCCGCTTCACCGCCCACTCCACCCCTCCACCGCCTCACATTACGGCTGGCTGCTTGCTTACACCAGCCCCGCGCCACTGACCAGCTCATGCGTCCGAAGATGAAAACAGATATCTGATCATTTATTTTCCATGAAAGATAAATGAGTAACAATTGAAAATGTAATGTCGATTAAAATAGACGTTGGTTCACACTCATCTAAAAATGAATATTCGTGCCGTTCATGATCCGTAAAAACATTTTTGTAGTACCAAAATGAATTTCGATTCTTTACGTACCATTCTGTAAAGTAAAACTACAGTACATGATATCTCCTACCAAATTATGAATTTTGATACCTGAAATCAAGTCTAGTTTTCTAAATACATGGCTACCACTGGTATCTTAACGTTCAGAACAAAACTTTAAATCAGTCATGTTAATGTTTACATTAGAATAAGATGACATAGGTACGACAGTGGAAACATGACTATCCCATATTGATCCCATTATGACTATGCCATAAATATTAACTATTCACGCGTTGTATGACGGAAAAGGACTTCTCATACTTCGCGTACTGACTGAATCCTCATTTTTATGCTCTGTGTGTCATTGCTTACGACAAAGCTGACGTCACGCGAGAGTAAGTTTCCATGGAAGGAAATTCATATATCAACCATTAAACACTTGTTTTTCGCGTGTTACAATATTCAACACTAACTGTTTTAATATTCTTGGTCTGCAAACCACTCTTGTACTGTTTATCCATATACTCTGTGGATCTTGTAGTGCTTATGAAGATAGTTTTTGTTACAGTATTTTAATTAGTTTACTGTTATGAGTGTGTTTCATTAGTGCATTTGAGTTTTGCGGTTGGTACTTTTCAAAAGAAATTTTCTGTGGTTATGTTTTGAAGCATTTTTTCTACTAAGGGTCACTAGTATGGAATATATTTGGGTAATTCGATGTCGATAATTTCAAGGAAATACACGTTTCGGGAATCGTTTAAACCGAAAGAGGGTTGTCTTTCTCAAAATTTCTTTCCGTTCGTCTGTTGATCTTTTGGTCAAAATGATCACTTCTCGACACTTCCACCGAGACCTCATATGCTCCGAATGGTGGCAAGGAATATTTCGTTTTGTCAGCATCGGATGGACACTCGCAGGCTACCGCAGATACTTCATAATTTGCCAAAAATGTTGCAGGCACTTCAATCGAATAGCTACGTCTTTTACCCACTTCAAAACCCCTTTTGAAAAAGAATTTTCTGTTAGGTCTAAATCACTGAGAACTAAACAACTAAGGACACTATATTTTAATTACTCTAAAACTCTACAAATTATGAATTTTGGACAATTTAGTATTGATTTTCTATTTATTTTTGTTTTTGTTGTGATTTCTAAGAATGTGAAACTTAATTTGTTTGTTGGGTAGAATAATATTTTAGTACATGAAAGTATATTATATTTGAAAAATCTTTATTCTTTCATCATACATTATTAGCAAGAACAATATGATGTTCCAGCCCTTGACAATAACACAATCATTTTAATACACATGAAATAAATGAAATCACATTTAATATATTTAGTAATCACATCTGAAATATGGTCATTACAATGTATAATTTTCTTCTATAGAAGATGTTTCAGAATGAAAAATAATACTTATTAGTATTTGGTCTGCAGTCTTCTTGTGGATAACAACACAGCTGGAACATTTTCCTTTGTAATGTCTCTATGTTAGTTTACCCTGATTTTTTTTCCACTAAAGCAAATGTCTTTGCTCCAATCACAAATAGTACTCACCTTTTAGGTTTGTATCTACTCGTACTTAGAAGTTTCAATACTCTATTATTGTCTGGTTGCATCACCGTCTCTTATCAACGTCATTCAGTTTTGCAGTTGTTGCAAATTTAACTTTTCTGTAACTAATCTCTTGTATGAAAATTTAAAACACTCCTGTGAAAAGGTATTTTTTCACTTTCATATCTAATGCCTATGTTCCTACAAAGTACCATTCAAATTACTTCTTCTCATTTTCTTTCCTGATACGGTGTGTAAAATGCCTTCAGATGATACCGTAAATTAACTGACCTGGAATCACGACTTCTTTTTTTGCGCGTAATAAATGCCTCTTTGCAGTAGGCAACACAAGTGATTACAGAAGACACACTTGATGAGATTATTTACACGTGTTTAGAGTACAATTGTTTTGAGTTCATTCAACTGTAATTCGAAGTCGTTCTTTGCAAAACTTCAATGTACTTTTAACTTCATATTATTATGGATTGTTGTAGGTACATTTCACAATTTGTGTCGTGTTAAATGCGTCGCTATTGAAACATAATGCAGTATTTCCTCTTCGTGCACTTCTTTCCACTTGAAAAATTCCGAAAAAAGTGTTTTAATGAGGAATAGTAAGAATATCACTTAGCGGTCATATACATTCGAAATACTCGTGGTTAAAGTAAATTCTAATGTTATCTGACACGTATTCAATAAATTTATGCGTAACAAATGATTAAGTGGAAAACAGTTTATTCTTTGTTCCATATAAATTTTATTATTTTCACACTCAAGTATGAGTAAAATAATTTTACCCATTTAGAGTGATGTAGCATCAAGGTAGTAGAATAATTTTAATATGATCTAGCGATAGAAGAATAGTCATTATATGAATATAGTTTGAATAATCGCCAAAGGCCAGCATTACATAATTAAATTTTCCATTGACGCAGTTTTAATGAAATATTGAAGACAGCAATATTTCTCGTTTCACTAAATAAAGAATTCTTTGTGGTAAGATTAATATCTGAAGTTACAAGTTGATCCTCTGTATTTCAATAAATAGTAGCCGGAATTGAAGTTACTCTTACATTTGTTGTATTTAAGTTTTATTTCCGATTTCAGCAAGTCAACGTCTATTGTTCTGGGTTTCCTGAAATATGTAAAAAAAAACTAAATATTACACTTGTATTGTTATTAGTACTTGTCTAAAAATATTTTTAACTGGCATTACTTGATGAGTGATAGAAACATAATGAGATGAATGATCTTGCATTACTAGTTCTTATCTGAGTGAGAATAAATTAATATAAATGTAATTATGTTTTGTTTAATTGGTATAAATAATTTGTACATATAACGGGTATATACATTAATTTTTTATTTTACTTTTTTTAAGTGATTAGAAAGTTAAAACAAAAACTCTGTTGGTTGAGAAAGTAACGTTTCTTAATTATTGTCAATACCTTTTCTAGTGAATGAGTAAAAGTGAAATTTTGGAATTCATATAATGTTAGTATTGCAGTGAGGTTATGAACGTAATGAAGAATCAATAATGAGACCCGTAGCGTAACGTACAATCAATAATAAGAGCGCTTATCCGCGCGTTGGGAAAATGATTAGTAGAAATGCGCACTATAGTTTATATGGTTCATACGAAACATAACAGTTTCGCTTCATTTCTTGAAATACTTCTTTTTCTAACGCTGAGTACGAGCTCATTACTTTCAACGTTGCCTTTAAGTTTATTCTTCTTCAACTTTTACGTTTCATTTTATAATATTTAGTGCGTGTTTGTTTAAGATGTTTTCTGTTTAGATAAACGTCCTTAGTAATATTTAAGGAAAACGTACTTTATTCAGGTATTATAAGAAGTATATTCCATTTGAATCAAAGGAGAGTAGCGTTTGTGGGAAAGTTTGTTTCCTTTCCAAAGAACAGAAAAGGAAGTGAAGAAGTGTGGTGGTCGCGACCCAGTCATCCCCATTGAGCTGCTTTTGTTTCCTCCCTTCGCTCGCGTCGTTACCCGACAATCTGCTTTATTTATTGCAAATCACATATCGACGTCTCCGCCACAAGGATCAAGATGCTGAATGGAGAACATTTAATATTTACACTTGTCGCAACGCCGCGCTGTGGGCCTGATCGTCACAATTGTGCAATTAAAACCGTGGCATGAAAATGGAATGTATGAGTTCATAAGTATACCTAACTTTTGTTATATTCTTTTTTTATTATTTGATATTGCTTTTAACGTTTGCAGCGAGATGTCGCTAACTCCAGCCGCAGGAGACGCGAGGGCAGTGGAAGACTCGCGAACGAAGAGAGATGCGCGGGAGGTGGGAGTGACGTAAACGTTAACTGGTAGAGTGACGGGCGTTGGCGAGGGTTGATTGATTGTTGATTCGAGCACTTGACTGCCATGATCATTCGTTGTGTTTCATTTTTTACACAATGATGATTCTCATTCGCTGGATGGTGTGATCTGGCACCGACATACACATGGATTTCACAATGATTCCCCCTCCGGGTGTCACCCGCAGCGAGACACCTCTCCAGCTCCCAACCGCTCTCCAGACACGAGTGGTAGTGTAGTGTACATAAGAGTAAGAATGCAAGTAAGCGGAGAGAACAGGAGGCGGATAAGGGAGGAAAGATCCCGTCCGTGGCCCGTTTGGTAAGATACTTCTCCAGCATTTGATCGGTATTGACCGGAAAAAACACGAAAAACTTCCAATCAGAGCAGCCGGTTGATATGATTATCCTCCAAACAGCGTCTGAAATCGATATTTCTATCTAGCTAGGGTCAAAAATGCGCCAACGTCAGGATTCAAACCCTGGGCCTTCCGGTCAGAGTCGCTGCAGAACGTTGGTAACGGAATAAGCTCATGGTGAGCGGAGAGGCAAGCGGTGGGTCCGAAATACAGCTACCAGCGGTGGTGGCGGCAACGTTTGGCGGAGATGGCGGTGGCTGCGGTGGCTGTGGTTGCGGCGGTAGCGGTGGTGACGGCGATGAGGGTGGCGGTAACGGTGATGGGGGTGGCGGTGGTGGCAGTGGTGGTGGCAATGGTGGTAGCAGTGGTGGCGGCTGTGGTAGTGGCGGAGGTGGT